AAGTAAATGCGCGTGGTTATGAAGTGTTGCTAATGAAGAGGTTATTTGATGTTTCTTTTTGGGGTAGGGGCGGCGGATGGCGGACGAGGCGCACTTATTTTAATCTTGTGGCGACCATGCGCATAGGTTTCGATATGTACGCTTGCGGACTCCGCCGACCGTACATACTGATTTTGGTGTGTACGCTCTTCATCGGTGCAGAATAGTCGAAAAGTTAAACACTATCGTCACATTGTGCAGATACAAAAAGTCAGGGTTTCTAGCGAAATTAGATGTGGTCGACGTTTTTAATTGTTAGACCTGCACGAGGATCGTAGACTATGTTATTAATGGTTTTTGAGCTCCACTTAGGTTTTCCGAATTTCCTCATGCAGAGAATTGAAAGTTGTATTTTGAGTTGTGTAATTTCTAAACAGTAACTGGTAATACATTTTTCAGGTGGTTAAAAGATCGAGAAGCGTGAATATTTCCTACCCAGTGGCGCCGTTTCGACCTTTGGCATATATCTCCGAAGTCGCTTCCATTGAAAAATCATTGGAACCATTCCAAGTAAGGAGTTTTCAAGGACGAAAGTTTTCTAATAATGTTGTTAAAGCCTACTTCTTTGCTCACTTCTTCTCTTTTTTCTCCTCTTTTTCTTACAACTTGTGTTCATGTAATTTATACTTCGCTACACCAGAAATACTGAGGTTTCCAGAGAACTTAAAGTGCGAAGAGGTGGTTGATCGAGGGCTGTGGCAGCTGATAATTGTTCACCTGGGAAAATGTCTCTTCAAGCCTTATCTCATTTCATAATTTATTTATCGAATTTTAAACTTATAAAGGACCTTTCAAACAATTTGTGCAAATAATTTTGCCTTTTTTTCCATGAGCAGTTCAAACGTTTTTCCTGAATCACTGAGCCGATCTTCTCTTCATATTGCAGCTTTTAATATTATTGTTTATTGTTATTCTGATGGTGACTCATTCTTCAAGAGCAACTGCACGGTGAGGGCCAATGATAACGACGCCAATCCCAGTGGTGTTGTTGAATATGGCGATGGTACCGAAGAAGGTGGAAGCGTGTTGGATGCTGGAAAGCAGTGTCTACCATGTAACTCAACAGGTAACTTGTATGCATTGGCAGTGGTTGTTCTCGAGGTACTTCATAATTAAATTTTCGTTTTTTTTAACTCTTATTTACTGCCTTTTTCTTCTTAATGGCAGGCTATGTTGTGAAATATAACTCGTATGAAGTGCTGAGATACCTGCAAAACTCCCCAGATCAATCCCGTTGACGGGTGATTGTTGATGGCAAAAAGATCGATAGAACTAGCTGAGATACATGCAAAGCGAAGGACCCGGATGGTGTAGTGGTGAAGTGCGCTGCTCCCCGGTAAGGACAACAGCGCGTGTTCGTTCCCCACTGCATACACCTGTGGTCCGGAGTTTTGCAAGTATCTCAGCACTTCATACGAGTTATATTTCGTTTTTTTCTCTGTCGGCTTATCGAAAGCTTTTCAATGAGGATCTCTATTCTTATTGTTTCTGAGAGTAACACATTCACTCACGGATCTCCCTCGCAGAGGGATCCAATGCCGGTTAGTCGCGAAACAACGTTGCGCGTATTCAGGTGATAGATGGGAGGTTAATCGCAGACGAAAAGGGACCTTTGCTTCCCTGAGACGCCGGTAGATCCAGGGGATGGACTCGTTGTTTCTGCTGCGCCGATTTAGCACATACTTTGTGTATTTATGAGGTTTATTCATGCACGCATGTGTGGGTGCGTTCTTGCTTATGCATTGTATTCTACGAGTCATTTCGGCCAAAAGCTTGCAATAAAGTGACTGGGAAGTATATGGGAGACGGCGAGGAGTCGCCTGCAAGAAGTAAGTTCCATGTCTACTCTGGTAAAAACTGCCATGCGACCCCAGAGTATACCCAGACCCGGCGTTCAGACCTCAGCAAGCTAAGCATCAAAAGACTAAAAAAAAAAGTAAAAGAAACAGGCCTCATTCCCCTGACCCCGAAATAGCCCCAATTCGGCAGCGTTGGGTAGGACGAATACAGAGAGGTTGCTAAAATGTCAGGGCCATTTTGGGCTACCTAAATCACAGAGGACTGAGGTGACGACGTGTACCTACAATGCACGTGCATTTGTATATTAGTCGACGGTGGAGGACCTGATCATGCAGGCAAGAAAGATAACATACGACGTCATCGGACTGCTTCATACGAGAAAGAGTCACCCATTCAACGCTGTCTATGACACCAGAGAAGAACTGTTTCGCAGAACCTGCGATAAGAGAGAAGTGGGCGGCGTCGGCGTTCTCGTCAACACGAGTTTGTCCGTGAACATTGGTTCGTTAGAACAACTAACAACCCGAATCGGACGTTTACGACTAAAAAGATGTGGATAAATTCCGGTTTTGACAATCTTCGTCGTTAGCGTACCGACGTCAATCTTTCACTAAGAGGAATCCGGGGCGTTCCATATGGCTTTGGAGAAGCTCTACAGAGAAGACCCTACATTCCTCAAGGTCATCATTGGAGATTTTAGCTCTAAGATTAGACCCAAGAACGTCTGAACTACGTCACAGTATCACCCAAGGATACCATCCGTGGTAACTCGCAATTCCAGAAGCCCCGCCCTCAACGCTTGACGTGGTAGTTTCGCAACGGAGAGTGCCACAACGAAATAGGCTACATCATAGTAAATAGGTTTTACCTAACCGATGTCGCTGTTGTTCCAAAATTCTATATAAGATCAGACCACCGTCTCCTTCGTGCAAGATTCCATTTCTCGCGGAATGGAGTAAAGCTGCTAAATTCAAAAAAAGAGATCTCAAAACCACCATAAACTGGAATATATCAAATCTCTTACTAAATTGTTGGGAAGATACCGTGCGTGATGACATGGACCAGGAATACAATCGGCTCGTCCACCATCTTAACCCAGAGATGTCTTTCTCCAGAAACACTCGAATTGGCATGCTAGCATGGAAGCAACCGATGACTAACATCTGAACTTGCAAAACAAGGCAGACAGGCAATGAAAGGTCTTGAGGAGAGAAGAGCAACAGTTATGGTCGAGGCTGGAGAGGGTGGGAAAAGCATCCGTAGGCCAACGAGGCTTCGCCAATTACAAAATCAAGATGCTTGCACTTCAAAGCCTAGATGGATCAGTTGCAGCTTCCAGAAAGGCCGTGAAGAAATTTATTCACTATTACTACTCCTTATAAACACATTGGCACTCCTTACGTTACCTGTCCTGGCGAAGCCTTCAAAAGTATCGAGTATGTAGGGAAGAGGGCAAGTAACACATGGTACCGTGCCCACCTTTTCGACTCCATGTTTCTTCCTTCCTTAGCGTATGCGTCAGAAACTTATTCGCTATGTGAGCAGGGTGAAGGATCACTCTGCGTTATAGCATGCGCAGTCGAAAGGATGATGCTAGGCGCATCCCGTGTCGTACAAGTGATGGGAGGGGTCTGGAGTTCCAATATACGTCAAGGATTCGTCAATCGAAGATGTTCTATACCCCAGACTCTCGAGAAGAAGGTGGGCGGACACGTATTGCGTATAAATGATAACCGATCTACAAAAGCCGTCAGTTATTGGATTCCTCGGGCTGTCAAACATAATGGAGGAGGACCACCAACCTATTGATCAGAGTTCTTCACGAAAGGCCTAGAGGAAAGATATGACTCTCAACGAGTCCGTAGTAAGCGCAGCAGGAAGAAATGGAAGATGTATTGGTGCCCGCTGGAGTCACTCGACAGGTGATACGGCGAAGACACCGACGGGTCTCAACTCGCCGGCTCCTGCCTTGCGGATGCGCGCGCTTGTGTGCTTTAGGTGGTGACACCGAAAGCCCTTCCAGATACTCGACTGTTTTGCCCAAATTGTCGTGCAGGTCTCTAATGCCATATATGCGGGCAAACTTATGCACGTTTCCATGTATATGCTTTATTACGTATAGAATCCGAATGTACACAGAGTGTTTAAGTCACTTCGGGGCTTTGAAGACCGAGCCTATTCTTGAAATCCAGTTGCGTCTCAAATGATTGGTTTATGTCTGCGTTTTATGTTTTATTCTCTACTTGTGGACCCAATACGCAGACTAGCGTTTAACCGACCCGTGATGGCTAGCATGGATGAGATATATGAAGTAGTTCTTACTTTGGTCAATGTGGAGTACTTGACTCGGAAACGCCTTCTCATTCGTGGAAGGCTGAGATTTATTGGTTCATAAGATTTAACTCGGGCGTGTATATCACAGTGATTAGAGGTGCCCTGCAATACATATTGCATCGATTCCATGTCCCAAGCTCACCAAAACTTCCATCCCTCCGATGTTCAGCACATTGGTACCAAACCTGTATGGGAGAATAGCAGCACCGATTTGATACATCAGTAGGCCAGCTCTAGCCATTCTATGAGCCAGGTATGCATTCATTCACCCCTAACGATGCTTAGTGAAATCGAATACGTGGTGCATCTCTCAAGGATTGGTTAATTCCGAGAACTTATCCTTTTTTATGCTTTATGGTGATGTCGAAGTGAAAGATGAAAACAAGTTAAATAGACAGTTATTCTCCAAATTCCTGTGATAATTTTTCTTTTCCTGTATTTCAACTTTTATTTCTTGCCAATGGTTTTGGTGGTTATGGTATATTTCGTATTCTAGACTCGTGTGAACGTATTAGAGATCGATTGGAAGATATTGACATGGATGATGAAACGCAAAGTTCAAAGGTACTTCTTACGTGTTTTAAAACAGATACGGTCTGAGTTACTTACTACCCACTGGAATGATTAGACCAGTTGTTATCTCTTACGTTGCTCTGGTGTCACATAATATTCATTTAAAAGTTCTGTAAATCTATAAAATTGCATTGCTTATCTTCTCAGCCTTGAATTCACTCCTTTAAAGTGTTTGAATTTCCCATCGTTGCCAAAGGGCTAAATTCTTTCCCGTCACTTTTCTCTTGTTGGACTCTTTGCTCAGCTTCTTTCAGATGCTTGACAATTGGTATAAACGAGTGGTCGTTTATAGTCAAGAGTTGAGTGCTGCTGAGGAAATGAAGATACCGTGGCAGTCACCAACAGTGGAAATATACAAACGTGTTTGCGAGGCGATACATGGACTGAACATGATCAAAGTCAGCTCATTAATCTTTGAGGCTTCAAAGACTTATACAAACATCCGAAAACCTGACCTCCATGGGAGTCGTTCGATGTGAGAACACTGGTGCTTTCAAGTTTAAGTGAACAAAGTTCAGGTCGTAGCAAATCCTATTAATGCCAGTATAATCCGTTAGATTCCACAAATCTTTATTTACAGAATAAAAGTACTTATGTTTTATCACCAGATTCGGATTTTTTAGAGATTATGAGATAGGAAAGTGTTACCCAGTCTAACGTTTATATTTCCACATGTCGTGTTTTTATTGCAATTTTTAACAACTTAAGTTCTATTATTAGTCTTTCGGGACTTTTGATTCTAGACACATTTAAATTTGAAGGGACCCTGTGAAAACTATGTATGCTATTAGGGCGATAGAGCAAGATTTTTTCTACAAACATGCAGGAAATTCTCGTCAGTATCGGAAACCACCCTCATTGCAAAAGGGTTAAGGTTAAACATGTTTTTTGTGAAGAGATTTTTGGCCTAGAAATCTTCATTTACTGTACAAATCCCAGCACTTCTCACGTTCGATTTGTTTTCCTCGTATCCATTGTTCACGAATTTCTTCCAACTTTTACGTGTGGCTTCGGTTGCTGCTTGAGGATTTTCACTTCATCTTGAATGTCATAGAATGCTGGCCGAGCAATTCTCTCTGGAGTCCTGAGATAATCGGGCTGGAGCGCTCCCAGTTTTATTGCAAAGAGCGTTTTTTCCCCAGAAAACTCTGGTACCAATTTCCCGACACCAGGGGATGGGAGGCTTGGTTGGCCCTGTGTGGAATCGAACTAGCACCATGCTCGTGATGATGGACATCACTGCCACTGTGCTGTCCGCCTCTATTATTATTGTTACGATTACTATTCTCCCCTTATCTATTGTTCTAATCCACTTCCATTTTCTCCATTCTTTTGCAAAAACATGACTGCTCGTTTTCAGGAAGGCGATAAGGTACTTGTGTGTTTGTCAGGTGGTAAAGATTCGCTCTCCTTACTACACATTCTGCATTTCTACCAGATGCGTTGCCGGAAGAATAAAAGGTATTACGCAAAAAGCATGGCCAGTTCTGGTTGTCCGTTCATTAATCCCTTTGTGCTTTACGGTTTTACGCAAGTGATTGCCATTCTAGTACGAATTTCAAGCTGGGTGCGATTACTGTCGATCCCGGTTCGTCTGCATACAATCCTCGTCCCTTGGTCGACTACTGTAGATCGTTGAATATTGATTATTTCTATGAGGAGCAAGGTGAACAGCGTATTTAGTTGGTTCCATAGATGAAAAAACTCGGTAGTACATACGAAAATATTTTAAAAAAAACTTGTCGGGTCTATAAAGATTGCCACTTTTATGACGTCATCAGGCTTTATAGATATAATTGGCGCTGCAAAGAAACTGAAAAATTTGCGTTCAATTTGTGCGTACTGTAGTCGAATGAAGCGAGGACGATTAGCGGCAGCGGCTCAACTTCATGGTTGGAACGTCTTGGCAATGGGGCAGCACTTGGACGATGTCGTTGAGAGGTAAGTTGCCTGTTTCATAATTTGACGGAAAATAATATTTATATGAATGTGTCGTTTTCTTGTCCAGCAATCGCGAGGTTTTTAAACAGCATACATTTACTTCCATAGAAAAACACAATACAATACAACGCTAGCTGACGTTTCGGCAGTATCGTCTTCTTCAGAGCCTTGAAGGGTATACTAATATACAATCTACTAGACCAAACGCTTCAATGACACTTACAAAAAGACGAAAAACTCTTCGGTAATTACATGATCAACAACTTCTCGAAAACCCCACCGCTTTTTCGTGACTTCCAATGAGGAAGTTTAGAACAGCTTATTATAGTCGCATGTGGTTGACGACTGCACCATCCCACATCGAAAATCGATGCGAACATACGGGATCAGGTCGCGTATGACCTCCGGGAATTCATCCCTGCCATTCATTGTAAGGTTTTTGGCATTTATCCAAAAAGCCTCAAGGAGTTTTCGCGCTGGTGTTTTGGACTCCTGTGCAAGGATATTGACTTTTACTTCAAAATCGTCTCCGCTATGCTTTTGTATCCTATGCGTGCCTAGTGGGGTGCTTCGTCTTAGTTTTCGTTTGCCATGTAGGTGTTCTTTTATACGGATACATAAAGGTCTTCCCGTTTCGCCAATATATTCATCTCCGCAATTATTACAAGAGATCAGGTATATCGTACCTGAACTCATGCAATCACCGTCCCAGCCGTAAGGGCAAATTACGCAGAAGACTGCTCGATTTTCAAATAGTCTGGGAAACATTTCGCACAAATAAGGGGGTTGGCAATGGGACAGCGATTGGCACCAAGCCATGCCATTGTGTTTATGTCTAAGATAGAAGCCCTTGTTCTCGATCTCCGGCCACTACTCTACTGCAGATATGTAGATGATTGTTTTGTCGTCTTCTCTATGCAGGAGGAGATGGACAAATGCTTTGAATTATTGAACGAGTAGTCCGAGTACATAAAGTTCACCCGGGAGAAACCGAGAAAAAACTGGCTTCTGTTTTTCGACGTTCAAATAAACCTATCAAGTAGCGGTTACCTGACAAAGTGGTATCGAAAGCCAAGTAACAAGAACATTCTTGTTCATTTCCTTTCTTCCCACCCATCACACACAAAGAGGGCGATTGTGGGAAACATGTTTCGAACAGCCATCTCTGTGTGCACTACCAGGGAACTAAAGGAAGAATCGCGCGACTTGGCTCGGCAAATAGCCATCTCCAATGACTACGAAATAGTAACCCCACGAGATAAGTTTAGAAGGAGAGAGACGCACCCAAGCGAAACACTTGGCCAAAAGAAAGTCCCGTTTATGTTGCCTTTTATTAGCGATGAAGTAAGCGTAGCTATAAAGCGATGCTTAAGAAGGGCAAGTCTAGAGGAATCGGTAGCGATAGTCGAAATACCACTGGCTACTCTACGTCGCCAATTAGTTCGAAACCGCCTGTATGACCGTCCGTGCGAAACAACAAATTGCGTAATTTGCCCTTACGGCAGAGACGGTGATTGCATGAGTTCAGGTACGATATACCTGATCCCTTGTAATAATTGCGGAGATGAATATATTGGCGAAACGGGCAGACCTTTGTGTACCCCTAATCAGCTGTTCTAAACTTCCTCATTGGAAGTCACGAAAAAGCGGTGGGTCTTTCGAGAAGTTGTTGATCATGTAATTACCGAAGAGTTTTTCTTCTTTTTGTAAGTGTCATTGAAGCGTTTGGTCTAGTAGATTGTATATCAGTATACCCTTCCAGGCTCTGAAGAAGGCGATACTGCCGAAACGTCAGCTAGCGTTGTATTGTATTGTGTTTTTCTATGGAAGTAAATGTACGCTGTTTAAAAACCTCGCGATTGCTGAACAAGAAAACGGCACATTCATATTCCAATGCCGAGGTTAATAGAAAGTGGATCCTGGGAACTATAATATCTATACTTGAAAAATGACGATTGGATGCCAAATGCTGGCATTAAACACAAAATATGAATGTGCTATTCAATGCCATAATCAACAGGAAATTTTCCAACAGTCACTGTGAAGCAGTGAATATTCGAAGAAAAAGTCCCAATCGAATTGCACAAAAGCAACCTTCGTGTCCTATCCAAATTTTCTCCAAGTAGGCAGGTTTTTTGCTCACCACATAAAGAAAAGGTCAATTGGGACGGGGTATGTTTAGCGTAGTGGTTATAGGTACCCTGAAACACATGAGATCGATCCCCGCGCCCCAGGCTCATCAAGCCCTCCGTCCCTCCAGCGTTGGCAAATTGCTACCAGACTTGTCTGGGAGGATAGCAGCACTGACTCGATATATCGGTGGGCCACTACGACTCACTGTCTAGTCCAGGTATGCTTACAAGTCGAATTCATAGCGCATCCGGTCGAGAATTTAAAGAATGGTTCATTTATATATATATATATCCTTCTAAGAACTTTTCCTATGGCCAACTCGAAGCCGTTTACCGTGCGAATACTCACTTAACCTTTTAAAGCAACCTTGGCTGCACACTGTTCTACAGTTATAAGTCTTAATAATACACTACGTTGTTATTCTAGGCTACCTGTTTTTCACAAATAATAATCACGAATCTTTATCCCAACACCGACTTGTAGCATAACGGAATAATTTAAAGAATGTCTACAGCACTCTAGCCGTTGATCAGTCTTCGAGGAAGGTGCCGCGTATTCAATATCGCCAAGCGTCGTAGAAGTGATTGAATCATATTTGGGCTATACAGTGACCTACGGTGGTTTACCGATGTATCAATCAGTGCTACTATTCTCCCAAGCAAAGGTACACAGGGGTCGAACCGCCGATTGATCCAGTATGTTATAAGGCACAGTACTATACACGCTTTGACATTAGTGTGTAATGTCTAAAGAGTGTACACGCAGAACTTCCTGCATTTGCCGTTACCGGTATTTTCAAGCACAGCTTATTCATTGGGTGCAGCGGTTTATAGCCATTCATATCTGTTGGCAATCGAGCTATATATAATCATCATAGAGCATGCCTGCAGTTGTAGTAATAAAGCGGTTTAAACCACTCATTTTATCCTACTTTTTCTCCTTTCTTTTACAAGTACCTTTTACAGTTTCTTCATTGCCGCATTCCAAAATGGTAATTTGAGTACAATGAAGGCTCAGTATCAAACACGGTTAGTGCATTATTTTTTGCTGTGTATACCGTTTGTTTTCCCTGCATACTATCTCCTACGAGTTTCTTTGTTTTCTACAAGCTTTCCTCAAATGTTTGTGAGGCTTCATAGTAGCCCATTGTTTCCTTAGAGATGGAACACTACGAGTAATTCGTCCACTGATATTTGTTAGAGAACGGGCGTTACGTGAATTCGCAGAATCACGTGGTTTACCAGTGATAGCTGAAAACTGTCCAGCCTGCTTCACCCAAGCCACTGAGAGGCACCGTATAAAACAGGTGGGTTGTGACGACATGTTATGATGGAGACGAAACTACAAATCGGAACCAGAGCGGTATACCAACCTTTTATGCTCTTAAATGCGCAGAGATCAGGCGAATGCGTCGTTAACTGTATCGTATGGGGAATTGTTCACGTTTTATCTTTCAAACCAAATTCTACTAATTATCACTCGAACTTGTACTTATGATGAACTTTGGTGTCCTAGAATTGGAGTGTGGAGGAGGGAAACCATAGTCCATCTGTATGATGAGCTGTCGTGATGTTAAATCGTTCCATCCATGGAATCAGAGTTCAAAAATTACACATGGTTTGACATGCATTCGATTGTTAGGTACTAATTTTATCCATTTTAGTTGTTAGCTCAACAGGAACTCATCTTTCCGGACCTGTTCAATTCTTTACGTTCAGCACTCCGGCCTCTGCTATTGGTAATATTTGTGTCTGTACTTTTATTTGTGTTCAAAACCATAGTGCATCCTCTAATACGGACTAAAATCTTCTAATTATTGATATCAATCTGGTTAACTGCAGTCTATTGTTCACCTTTCAGGTAGACTCGGCAAGAACTGATAGAATGCGAGCAATGGCGATCGAGAACATAGTGAAATTTAACAAGGGCAAGGGTGTTTGAAATTCCAGTGGTATCGTTCACTATAATACGAAATTATGGCTGGCTAAACGGTTTGTGAGAGTTTTTTTCTCCGAGGATCGATTCAAGGTAAAACTTGAATGTACCGATAATCTTCATGTTGGAATTTTTATTGTCGTTGTTTGCTGAGTGTTTTTGTTGCATTGTTTTTATTTCGTCTATGAATGTACCGTTATGTTATAAATGGAAAATTTCACTGGATTAACCAACAGAATCTAATGTATTTACAAATGAATATCTTTGCAAGCCACTAGTGCCTTGGGTGGGTGGAACTAAACGACCTACTGATTTGTTTTTGGTTTTCTCCATCCTTTTAATGACTTTAGGTCTTTTTTTCGATAGACACATTGGAGGCCAAGGTTTTCCCGGCTACTCCGTCATTCTAAGGACAGTCTACTCGACTAGCAATCAACGATATTCATAATGAAAGAGAAGCCAATGCATGTCATTTTGTAGACCATAGATCCATTCAATCCCATGTAGCAGTGTTTTACGAAATTGAATGTACTACGCATTTTGCAGATTGGTGAGAGATGAACGCTCTATCCTTTATCTTTATTCTCAGTAGTCATCCTCCCCAGCACTGCCATATGAGGATCTCTTTTGGTGCTAAAGAAATGTGGCTTTTGATGCTATTTTTTTACGACTAATTTTACCCATGAGAAGCTTACTGAATATTTATGGCAGGGGCTTGGTGCACTCATTGATAGCTTACCAATCTCTCAGAGTAGACCGGGAATCTAGAGGTGATTTCGAACTAACTCCATGTACTCTCCAGTATAGCCTGAACATTTCGATGATGAGTGACAATACGAGAAATCAAGTCGAGTAAGGTGAGAGAAATAATAGAGGAATAATAGAAGAAACAAAAGTACAATAAAAGACGAATAACCTGATAGAAGAAGACTATGCAAAGTGATTTCACGAGCTAATTATGAATGGTGTTCCTTGTAGTGCGGATTTCACTTCGTAGTGAGTTTTAAAAGTCGTGGAATCAGTGTAAAGAAGATGTACCAAAAAAACATATGGAATGGTTTCTCCACTTGGATACTTGGATGGCGCGTCTTCCCAGGTTGTGCGGTCCGCAGAGTAATTTCCATTATTTCGGAGGTCTTCTGGTTTAGCCACTATGCTTCCCTGGAGTCGCGAGGTTAGCCTAGCCAAAGCCCACGCCAAGTCGTCACCACCATAGGCAGTCGTCGCCCTTCTGGATTAGAGGGAGATTTGCCACAATACGACTAATTTGATACCTTGACGGTGGTGGTTCCTTGTATTGGTTTACACTTAGGTGGGCATCGTTATGGAAACGCTGGTCTCTTTCTCTGTTTGGAAAACCTTGCTGGGGAGATGAATTCCCCCTCTGCACATAGTACCCCGCTACCCAGGAAGACCTACTCACGAAATGGCGGTAAACTGTTGTGAGCGAATAGTTTCTGTAGAGACGATAATATTGAAATAAATGCGGGAAATACGTATAAAATATTGCGAACTGATAGAAAGAAAAATCATAGAAGAAAAGATGGAGGATTCATGTAAGGTCGCGAATGAGCAGAATGACATGTTGGTAAATCTACACATCAAATGTTGATAGTGCTTTACATATGCACACGATGAACAATGTGATTGCTGATGGCACTGATCGATAGGACTAACTGAGAGGCAGGCGAAACGAAAGACCGGCATAGTGTCGTGGTGAAGGCGTTAGCCCCCAAAATGGCGTGTTCGTTCCCCACCCCACAAACTTGCGGTTCGGAGTTTTCCAAATATCTCAGGACCATTGTCGTTGTATCACACATAGTACCCTGTTGTGAAAAATTGAAGTAGGCAGTAAATAAAAATTAACACAATGGACAGTATTGTTTCGAAAAAACCTAGTTAGAAGCCGTTCTATTTCCAATATGTGAATGGCAACAAAGACCAATGATGAAGGAAAATCACAGACAGGCTGCCGCTGTTCTTCGGTGTCTGGTCCTATCCCATGTCCTGAGCCGACCTTTCAGAAGCAGATTCTATTTCGCAACTAATATTTCACTGAATAACGCTTTAAAAACACTAAGGCCAATATGGCAGGTCGTGAAATTATCGATATCTTAATCGTTATATATTGATATCGGAAAGCTACACCTACTCATATATTTTGCTTACTGAAGCTACTGGCGTGACTGCTATTTTTCTGGTACCATACTTTGAGATACCTTAATCCGACACAGAATGGGTTGAATAGCCCTGGTAGATTTTGATCTTTTGAACTGTTCCAGATTTTTGAAAAAACCTTATCAACTAGAACTGTTGCACTCCCGATAAATATGTGATATTTAACACTTAGCCGACTATGTGACCTCACAGGAATCATGGAAAGCAGAAGTAACGGCCGTTTTCAACTACGAATCAGCGTATCTCAGCACGTGCTAAATTTTATTAACTGCAACAAAAACTATCGGAACCTGCGGAACATTGCCCACATGGTACAAGATGCATTATCAGAGACGATGAAATTCTGATTTTCTAAAATCAGTGAGACATATTTCTTCCTCTTTCTTTTCAAGATTCGAGAAAGATGCTTCACTGAGGAAGACACGACTCGACGCGCGACGAACGCGCCACCTCGGGAACTCGGACAGCTGTGGGCCACCGACTCGGATCATCGGCTCTGATCTAGCAGAAACAATCGAAACGTTAGCCAAAAATGAGCACCATTTATCAAACTCGTGTACGCTTATCAAAGAAAGGGTACATCTTTTTTTGTTTAGAGACCTAAATTCTAAGCACGAATGCAATTGAGCAAGGTTGGAAGGGGTTCGTCTGACAGAATATGATTTTTCCCACTGCAATCGTTTATGTCTGCCAGCCACCGTTATAGCATTGGAGAATTTAAACTATGCTTTCAACTTCTGGAAGTTTCGTCCTGAACAGATTTAAATTGAAATGCTGTGTTCGATGAACTGTCACTTATCGAAAAGCCGGCTTCGTCTTGAAAAGGATAACAATAAAGCTCTAAAGCTCTCGGAATTTACCAACCCTTGAGTGCTGCTGTCTTCCCAGACAAGTCTGGTTCCAACTTGCCGACCCCGGAGGGATGGAGGGCGTGGTGGGACATGAGTGAGGGGTCGACCTCACGTGTGTTGCGGGGCGCCTCCGACCACTGAGCCAGATTTACCATTAAGGATAACAATGGTGAACCAAATCTAGGAAATATGGTGTCAACTAGGTCTCTTTCCTTATTATTGGAATAACCACTATTATGTGTTAACAAAAAAAAAATTCAACAAAAACAAATTAAGCCTGAAATGCACTGTATGCCATACACGCGTAGAGAAGTGTGACAACGTGGACCAAGTGCATTGCGTCTGATGCATTTCCCTTTCTACTATTTACTTTGCTATACAGAGCCTTTAAAAACACTTTAAGGACTTAGTCGATAGCTTGGCTAACATAGTTGATATGTCATGCCTGGTCCATGAAGAGCTTTTCTCTGTACTTAACGATCTACATAAGACGTTCTTTTTTTATGCGAGTTTATTGAATGGAAATTTGGCAAAAGATAAAGCTCTCGACGTTGATCAATCCCCTAAGGAGGCGCTTGCATTCGAATTCATTAAGTATCGTTTGGAGGTGGTTGAATGCCCACTTGGCCTTTACGATTACTCGCGGTGGCTTGCCGACGTAGCGAGCCACTGCTGCCATCTTTCCATACAAGTCTGGTACCAATGTGCCGACCCCGGAGGGACCGAACGCTTGGTGGGCTTGGAGCGCGGGAATCGTGTATTGCAAGGCACCTCCGACCACTGCACCACACGTGTCCAAATTGACTTTTAACTGTTGTCTTATTCCAATCGTTCATGGACCGTGATTGTAGTATGGAATAAGAGGGTATCGAGAAGATCAGAATCAACAACATGGCTTGCAAAACACTTTGGAATGCTTGCAACAATGTGGCTGCATTTTGCACCACAGTTCTACGCAGTAACTGTTACCATATAAACCATGCATATCTGGAGCAATACAGCAAAGCCTTTTCCATAGTTGTGCTTCTATTCTTCTATTCTATTGTATTTTCAACTTAACAGTTTCTCCAGTTATCGAGAAATTTTCTGTTGTGGAAAAACCAGAAAGTCCGTAACCGACATAAAATTAAGCGCTGTCGTGGAGGTGACTACAAGAGAAATAACACTTTTATTTTTTCAAATTGACTATTCTACAACTACAGTGTCTACTTCGAAGCATTGCGTGCAGCGCGAATAGCATCGATTTGTGCTTGTACGTCTGGATTCAGAGAGTTGTTTGGCTGCAATGTCATCATGTCTTCTTTGGAAATCACTCAGAATTTCTCTAGTATCAAAATTCAATATTAACATCTCGTTCACACAAATCTAAAAGTAAACATGAAATATAACAGACTATTCTACAGTTCCCAAGATCGACTTTCTATCAATGTCGGCATTGAATTATAAGTCTGTTTTACAGCAATCGCAACGTTGTTATTCAGTACACGTTTAATTCCTCACAAGTATAGCACATACAACACAACGGTGGCTGATGTTTCGGAAAAAAAGAGAACAACAGACTGTTCCACATTTACAGCTTCATTATCTAAACATGGCCTCACCGTGGCGACGATGTATTGCCAATATACGTAGATCTCTGGACTTGAAATCTCGACAAAGTCAAGCTGTCTTTCCAAATTCCTCTCACAGGTAGGCGCCTGTGGCTGATGATCGGAGATTTGTCACCTTCTAACTAAGCTAGTACATGGACGGTGCTAATCTCTGGCAGAGTAGTGTTCTTCGCTGTGTCTTCGGATGAAAATTTCGGGCTACTTTGCTTGAACGGCCATCTTGATGTAAACTCCCGCTGTACATCACAGTTCAGCATCCAGGAAAACATCCTAATTACGACTATACGGCAAACCACTGAGAGGATTATAAGATGGAATTAACATAGTACAGGGATAAATTTCTGATAAACAATATCTACTAGACTAGTCATTAACACCTGTGAAGTAATTCGTTGTATCAATTACGACCATTTGGAAGTAAAATTTAGATAAGTGCCGAAGGACTGGAACAAAGTCACGATAGCTAGTCTGATTCGAAATATTTTAGCCATTGTCTGTGACAATGAGAACCTCTCGCACGGCTCCTGTGCAACCCAGAGAAAAACCTACACGAGAAAAAAAACTAGGTTTAGTATCAAGCACTAGAAACTCCGAGGTCCAAACAAGGGTAGTGTAATAAAACCACAGGTAAAGAACAACCAGTTTCGCATAGTGTAACAAACCAAATGTTTAGAACAAGAATAACTTGTGAATGACCAGCTATGAAGGGTTTATAACCTCTACTTATAATGCCAAAAGAGTTCACAGTCACGTACAAGAAACGCATGGATTAAAGGAAGTGCTCTAGTCCACCATGGATTTCCCTCATATGAGGGATCTCGAGCCGGTTAGTCGTGAGGCTACGTGGTGCACCCCAGATGGCGGATAGGGGGTTAATCGCGGACCAAAAACGACCTTTGCTTCCCTGAGACGAAGATGAACCCAGTGGATGGATTCCGAATTTCTGCTGCGCCCATTAGGCACATACTTCTGTGTTTACGAGGCGCATTCATGCATGCGCGTGTGGGTGCGTTCTTTCTTATGCGGATTGTATTCTACGAGTCAATTCCGCCAAAAGTCTGCAATCAAGTGACAGGGAAGTACATGGGAGGCGGTTAGGAGTCGCCTCCAACAAATAAGCTCCATGTCCACTCTGGGAGAGCCTGGCAAGCTACCAGTGAGCATGCCCAGCGCCCACGTTCAGAGCCCAGCAAGCTAAATGTAGGTATCAAAAGTGCTAAACGCAATTTTAAAAAACGAGCCTTATTCCCCTGACCCCTGAACAGGCTCCAATTTGGCAGCGTTGGGTAGCACGAGTACGGAGAGGCTGCTAAAATCTCAAGGGAAACGGAAGCTGCCATGGTGACGACCGGTAGCTACAATACACGTACACTTGCATCCCAATCCTCGATAGAAGACTTGCTCATGCAATCATGAAGAATAAGGCACAACTTCATCGGTCTGGCCGAGACGAGAAGACGCCAGCCTTTCAACGCCGTCTATGACACCGGAGAAGAACTGCTCCTCGAAACATGCGACAGTAGAGTCGGCAGCGTCGGCTTTCTCGTCAACACGAGTTTGTCCATGAATATCGATTCATTCGAACAACTCCTCGAAACGGACTTTTACGATTAAGAAGACGAGGATCAATTCCGGCTTTGACGATCTTCGTCGTTTACGCGCCGACATTAAACTATGACGAAGAAGAAGTCGAAGTGTTCTATATGGACTTGGAGAAGTTCTACAGAGAAGACCACACATTCTTCAAGGTTATCATTGGAGATGTCAACGCCAGGACTGGACCGTCTGAAGAACGTCACATTGGGACCCACGGATTAAAATGGAACGAACAGGGTGAGCTATCTGAGTTTATCACGGCGACCAAGACAATCCATGGTAACTCGCCATTCCAGAAGCAGTACCCTCAGCGCTAGACGTCGGAGTCTCCTATTGGAGAATACCATAACGAAATAGACCACATCATAGTAAATAGAAGGTTTTGCCTAACCGATATCGCTATTGTGCCAAAATTCTACAAGGGATCAGACCATCGTCTCCTTCGTGCACGATTCTACTTCTCGCGGAAAGGAGAAAAAGCCGCTAAATTCAAAAACCGAAGTCCAAGAACCACCGCAAACTGGGACTTATTCAATTCATTAGTCGGCCGTTGGAAGACGTCGATAACATCGACAAAGAATACGATCGGCTCATTCAACATCTTCACGCTAGCGCTATGAAAGCTCAAAGTTCGAAAGTCACCAAGAGACGTCTGTCTCCAGAAACACTCGAGCTGATACGTCAGCTTGGAATCGCACGAGCTGCGGGCAACCGCAAACTAACGTCCGAACTTGCAAAACAATGCAGAGAGGCCATAAAAGAAGATCTTGGAGAGAGAAGAGCAGCAGTAATGGCCGAAGCTGCAGAGGCTGGGAAAAGCATTCGCAAAACCCAAAGAAGCTTCGCCAATTATAAGATCAAAATGATTGCTCTCCGGCGCCCAGACGGAACAGTTACAGCGTCCAGAAAGGCATTGGAGAAAACCATTCACGAACACTACTCGGATCTCTTCGATAGCTACATCCACCTTCCGTCATATGAAATAAAGAAGGATGGATATGTTGTACCATTGGTTCTCGCTTCCGAAATCCGACTGGCCATTTCGTCGGTGAAAAATCGAACAGCACCAGGTCCGGACAGGATAAGACCAGAAAAACTGAAAAACCTTCCGTCAGTCCTCGTAAACACACTGGATCGGCTCTTCACACGTTACCTGTCTGAATGCAAGGTCCTTACTCAGTGAAAGACCAGCGAGACCGCGTTGCTGTACAAGAAAGGTGACCTGCACGATATTGGGAACTATCACCCAATCTGCTTACTGTCTGTCGTGTACAAACTTTTCACGCGAGTCATCTTAAACAGGATTGACAGAAAACTAGACGAAGGACAGCTATGTGAACAAGCAGGGTTTCGAAGAGGATTTAGTACGATGGACCACATCCACACGGTAACACGGCTCATTGAAGTATCGTGAGAGTACAAAAGACCGCTCTGTCTCACTTTCATCAATTTACAGAAGGGCTTTGATTCGGTTGAGATAGAAGCAGTCATGGATGCCCTTGACAGTCAAGGAATCCCTATTCAGTACATAAAGATTCTTCGTGAGCTGTATAAAAATTTCACAACCAAGATATCACCAATCTACAACGGTATTAACATTGACGTCAAAAAAGGAGTTAGGCAAGGTGATACCATTTCGCCAAAACTATTTACCGTCATCGTCCAGAACGTCATACGAACATTGAAATGGGATAATATGGGAGTGAAAATCGACGGTCGATAGTTACACCATCTTCGCTTTGCTGATGACATCGTCCTTATAACACCAAACATTAGCCAAGCGGAACGAATTCTTGCCGACTTTGACAAAGCTACCCGACTCTGTGACTGCCTTAACGTATGCGTCAGAAACCTGATCGCTGCGTAAAAGGACGAAAAATCACTCGCCGTTATTGGACATGCGGTCGAGCGACTATGGCTGAGGTATCCGTTTCACATAAGGGAAAGGATTCGAAGCTCCGATCTGCGTCAACGATTAAAAATCAGAGATGCCGTTCTGTACGCCAAACAGTCGAAGGTAAGGAGGGCCGGACACGTAATGCGTATGAATGACAACCGATGGACAAGAGCCGTTAGTGAAGGGATTCCTTGGGATGTCAAACGTACTGCAGGAAGACCTCCGACCCAATGGTTATAGCCCTTTACAAAGAGCCTTGAAGAAAGATATGATGTTCGACGAGTCCTTAGAGCGAGCAGAACCCACTGGGCTACTCTTGCACGCGACAGAGAAACATGGAAGACTTACTGGCGCCCGCTCGAGTCACTCGACGATCAACGGGACTAAAGGTGACAGGTGCTCTAGTCTAAGACAAGTTTGCTACCAATTTCTCAACCCTGACGAGACGGTCGAACGAGCTCCTGGATGGATGAAGACGTTCACGTAATGGACAGAATCACTATACAGCACTACCCGACCCCTAAATCGCAGTACGTAGGGTTCACATACGAATCTGCTAATGAAAATGAAGCACGGATAGGCATTGCAGTCAGGGAGGAAATGCTTGGATAAGAGAAAGAAATTGATAGATTCCAGACAGAGAACCATGAAAATCATCAAGTGATTCCGTAAACGTATTCAATAACCATCGCATATCTAAATAAGAAACTTGGGTCGTGTTTCCAACGCCAACAAAAGCAGTTTAGAGCAGAAGAAGCGAGACCCTATGGCAACCAAATCTGAAGGACTCATTCAAAGAAACACGGTCATTTTGACAGAAACCGTATACTGTTATGTCACATACCCTGACTCTCCACATCGTAACGAAACCATCAAAAGCAATTCCCAGATAAATGTTTTAAACCTTTTATGAACAAAAAAAAAACTAGTTTTATACGTACCCTCGGGCGCATTTTGTCCAAGTTGACCAATACGTATGATGGATACGACAAAAACGTCACGGCAATCAGCAAATACAGAGCAACCTGAAATACTCTATATAACAAACCAGAACCTGATTTGGCAACCAAACGCAAACATGCATTCTTAAGCCTGTTTCGTTTCCGTCATCATAAACCGTTTTTCATTAAGCACTGTACGGTCACCTGTGACGTTTTATCTCACTTAGCGCTACCACAGGATCTACTGTAAATAATATGAATCCTTAATATTCAGCTAAGGCCGCGTGCAGCGCAGCGGTCGGAGGCGCCCTGAAATGCACATGGGATCGATCCTCGCGCCCAAGGCTCACCACACACTACATCCTTACGGAGTCGGCAAATTGGTAACAAACTTGTCTAGGAGGATAGTAGCACTAGCTCAATATATCAGTAGGCTACCGCGAGTCATTGTGAAGGCCATGTATGCATCCAATCATCTCCGACGATGGTTGGTGAAGTCGAATACGTGGCACATGCGCATCCCTCAGGGATTGACTAACGCTGTGAGCTTTACCCTTCTTCTAGTATGCAATCATCCTAAAGTCACTACCAGTGATGAAGTCATATGCTCAGAAGTCTGAAGGCATTTCTTCAAACAAGGATATACTACCGATCTTATACTATCAAGTTGAACAATCAGTCACTAATATGTTGAAGGTCAATAAACAAAGACAGATTTGCAATTATACAAACTTTATTGCAAAAATAAAAATTGCAACCTAGCGTATAAGCGATCAAAATGATCGATTGAGGCAAAGGATCGATGTATAGTACCACATTCTAGCCACTCCAGACACGACCACATTCTCATTGATTGGAAGATCAGCGAATAGCTAGACGCGTCAAATTTCTTCAACATTTTCCCTCTTCCAGAAATGACCACTTATATAGAGAATAAAGAATAAAGTGCATGTCGCTGATCAATCGATAAGAGATTTGCCATGTGTTCGATTTCATTAAGCATTTTAGAGAAGGCTAACTACACATTTCACCCATTCCGAGAGCTCGCTGATGTATTAGGCCAGTAGTTCTATCATCCATGATAAGTCTGATACTAATCTGCCGATTCCCGGGAGACGCCCGGCGAACGGGGTTGGCTCATCACTAATGACATGTAACAAAAAAGAAAATCACGTCAGTTACAGAAATTAAGGGATGCAATGAGGTCAACCTAACCTCTCAAAGGACAAAGGAACCCCAAAGAGTAATACAATGGATGAAAAAGAAGAATGAACTAACGCATTCAGCGTTCGAGGTGTAACGCAACGGTGGTGTTGACTCAACTCCTTTGTGCAACGCACGTCGAAGCAGTGGACTCTGCTGGCGAAATAGAGAAAGAATGGCACGATTCATCTCTGAAAATCGTCAAAAATGAGCTATTCAATGAAAATCGATATGAAAATGAAAAGTATTTCGATCGATAAACGAAAGAAATTGCTTAACCAGACGGCAATCACTCTAGTAAAGGAACGATTTGAACAACTGTTTCATCATGAAAACGACCAATTATCAAACTGTTTGATTAGTTAACAAAACCCACAATATCGGCAGCATTGGAGAATGAATAATAGACATTTTTCGGACTAATTATGATAACATAAATGCTGCATAAATCACGAGAACGAGAGCGGCACTATGAAAACCAAGGACCTCAGGAAACAAACAGTGGTCGTTTGCATTACAAGTTAGAAAGAAAGGTAGTAAGGAATAAAAAAATGTCGTCAAAAAATAACTCCGAAGGAAGAGGAAAAGAAACAGCTGTTGAACATAGCCCCTCCTGAAACCGGAAACCTGGGAGATCCAGAAAATCTCATTTTGCCACCGACTGCAAAGAATCGTTTCGGGACCCATCTAAGAAAAGGCCGTACCCTTTAGTGTCCCATTCGCAGTGGGGATCGGTGACAGTGCAGACCTGACATGAGTAACTTTAATGATGCTGAGATATTTGCAAAACTCCGGACCGCAGGTGTCTGCGGTGGGGGACGAACGCGCTATTGTCCTTTCCGAGGAGTAACGCGTTCACCACCACACGATGCGGGTCGAGTCGGGTCGTTTCGCCTGTCTCTCAGCTAGTTCTATCGATCTTTTGCCACCAGCAACCATCCGTTAGCAGAAACCTGCGGTCTGAAGTTTTGCAAATATCTCAGCATCATTAAAGCTATATTTCGCATTGTATACTCTGCCGTAAAAAAAAGAATAGGCAGTGAATAATAAGCTAAAATCCTGAATAACTTTAAGTGTTGAGTAGTATTGTTACTAGTTCGGCCAGAAGTTATCCACCCAGTCATCCATTGTCCTCATTTGCAGTTTCGTGCTACGCGAGCTAAAGCTTTCTTCATTATCGCATATCATATTTATCTGAATATCTGTTACTCTGGGTGCGTGCATCGCTGTGCTCGGAGGCGCCCATCAGTACACATGGAATCGATCTCCACGCCCATGGCCCACCAGGCCTTCCATCTCTCTGGGATCGGCAAATTGGTACCAGACTTGCCTGGGAGGATAGCAGCACTGGCTCCATAGATCGTTAGGCTACCGCGAGTCATTGTAAAGGCCAGATATGTATCCAGTCACCTCCAAATGATGCTTATTGAAGTCGAATGCATGGCGAATCCCTGAGAGATTGATCAACGCCGAGAGCCTTAGCCTTTATTTTATCTCTTATCTGTTATTCTAACAGGAAAATAGATTACTGCTGTTAGTACCTTGCTTCACTGATAGGTTAACACAAACTTGTTACCGTTGTTTATTCGGCTAACGATTCGTCGTCTTCGTCTTCCTCAGAGCCTATGATCCGAGTCGATTTCCATAGTCGTTCGTGCTCTCGATGTGATGTCTTCGTTGTCGCATTGAGCCGAATCTTCTTTATTGAAGCACCTCTCGAATGGGGCATAATCACTCGACTATGCTCTCATCCTGGCAGGTTTCTGGGCGGACCCTGCTCGGTCTGTGATCTGGTCAGATCTTATGGATAGTCGGTTACTATACTGTTTTTAGTTGTTACTTCGATATTCTGTTGTGATAATGCGTTTGAAAGCTGCAAACTGTTCTCAACTTCTAGAAGTTTAGGTAATAGTCAAAAATAGTGGTGATAGTTATAGTGCAATGCCAAGGTTTATAGAAAGTCGACCCTGTGAACTGTAGTAATGTTATTACAGATGGTGGTGAAAAATATCCTTTTTCCTGAGTTTACCTGTGCGATAGCCCTTAGTCAAGTATTGCATAAAAATTATTACATGGGTAAACTAAGCGCTTGGAATAAAATGAACACTCTTTAGTATAATGCAGAACAGAGGCACGGTTAGGACAGTGCTAGAGATAAAAGGATAAAAAGGTAAAGCTTTCGGCGTTGGTCAATCCCTGAGTGATGCGCCATGCATTCGGCTTCATTCAGCATTGTGGGGCGTGATTGAATGCACATTTGGGGCGGAAGGTTTGATGAGCCTAAGGCACTAGGATCGGCCCATCTGTAGTGCAAGGTGCCTGCGACCACTGCCCCACACATGCCTCTAGTGCTAGAGATAGCGTTCAATAATACGTCATTCAAGCTTCCTATTCCTCTGGGGTCAGGCGAATCACGAGGATTGCAGACCGTTTGCGATGAAGGCCTGAGAACTGTAACAGAGCTCTATTACGATTCCAGGAAGAACTCGACTAGACCAGCATTCATAAAGAAGATCAAGGTGCTCAAGCAGCAGCCGAACTGACGTGTAACTTTGAAGATCTTCGTGGATGTCGGATGTGAGGAACGGAATCGGTCGAAGGGAGTACTGGGATCAGTACAATATATGATGTTGGATCGTATGGAATTAGAAAGCGTAGAATGGGAACTAGTTTCCAGCATGGAAGTTTTCTCTCTTCGGAGAACTGAAAGCTTAATAAACAGTGAGGGAGTCAAGAGTACTCAGGGTTGTTTCCAAAAAAAGAGAGAAAAACTGATGGGTAGTTGTGAATTAAGTACCACACAGTTACTTCATGATATTATTCATAGGTTTGGAAGACTATCGAGATCAAATCTGTATAAGGTGAACATCTAAGAGTCTTCATCAGGTGAGTATATCTATGGTAAACATCTTCATGGAAATAACTGCGTTAGTTTCTGTACTTAGACGTTTGAAGATTGATGGAGACAAATGCTTTGTTCAGCATGAAAAAGGTCTAGTTGGACGATTTCGTCAGCAGGAATACAAGTAAAACTTCAAAACTAACTATTAAATTAACTATATGTTACTAGCACAACAGCTGCCTATGAGCATACCGAGCTTCATGGTGGAAATCAGCGAAGCACGGCTTCGCTATTTCTCTCAAAAAAGTGGAAAATAAAGGGTTTAATATGCAAAACACACGAATTTATCGTAGCATATCATCTATTCAATCCTTTTTCCATCTTATTTGTGGCCATCATAAACTCAATGGTGCTGAGATATTTGCAAAACTCCAGACCGCAGGTGTATGCGGTGGGGAACGAACGCGCTATTGTCCTTACCGGGGACTATCGCACTTCACCACCACACCATCCGGGTCCTTCGTTTTGCCTGTCTGTTAGCTAGTTCTATCTATCTTTTGCCATCAGCATTCACCCGTCAGCGGGATTGATCTGGGAGGCCCAAATCGGCAACGAACCCAGTTAAGCTGAGGCCGCAGTTATAATCACAATTTCAACTTATTATTTACTGCCTACTCTTTTTAACGGCAGGGTATTCATTGTGAAATATAACTTCAATGGTGCTGAGATATTTGCAAAACTCCGGACCGCAGGTGAATGCGGTGGGGATCGGTAGAACTAGCTGAGAGACAGACAAAACGAAGGACCCGGATGGTGTGGTGGTGGAGTGCGCTAGTCCCCGGTAAGGACAATAGTGCGTTCGTTCCCCACCGCATACATCTGCGGTCCGGAGTTTTGCAAATATCTCAGCACCATTGAAGTTATATTTCACAATGAATACCCTGCCGTTAAAAAGAGTAGGCAGTAAATAATAAGTTGAAATTGTGATCATGAATTCATTCGAAGTGTCTGCTATGTACTAGTAGTACTACACGAGGATCGAGTGTACTACGAGTGCTTCCAACGTGTTTTAAACAGAGACAGATACGTTGCTGTGGTCACTGCCTCATGTTATCGTTGATCTTCCTGTGGAACATGTATATCGTATTTCTGAGAGGTTTTCTTTGATCATAAAAGAAATTGAATCTTACGCAGGAAACAAGCAATTTCTGGAATCTACGTGCTAAACAAGATATTTGATTTATAAATTAAGAGCTAACATTATAGTGGTGTTATGTACAGTTGGTAAGCGAAAGTTATCTGAAGAGTTAACGTCGGAACTTTACTACTCTTAAACTCTTAAAAATGATTTGTATTCGGCTAACGTCTGAAGTTTTCGTCTTCATCAGAGCCGATGATCCGAGTCGATGATCCATAGTTATTCATCTTAAACTTCTAACCCTTACTCCAAACTCTTAAAGAAGAGAACTCTTAAAAATAGGCAACATCGTAGTGTGGATGAAATACACAATTGGAAGCATAACTAGGTATAGGCCATACATCATCTCGATCCAATTTAAAGTACAAGAAAGAGTCTCACATTCTTATCAGCTTTAACTATAAATTACACATTGCTAGTCCCTATCCCAGAGAGGTTTCCAGGATCGCGAAACACATCTACAGTGAGTAATTCAGTTATGCGAACCAGCAACAACTCCAAAACATTCCTTTGTGTACCAGGAAATCACTGCATAGTAATCGTTTTGCCTCGTTCAAAGCGACATGACAAAAGAATCATGAATCATCCCAACTGAGCACGAGTCTGCCGACATGGATTGCGAATGCTGGAAAGTCAGATACGAAGCCAGACCCTTCCTATGAGAAACGTCGACTTCTGCAAAGAAAATCCCTCTGTATTATGCCTTGTGCTACATCAAATGGGCTCAGAAACCCTTAGTTTGTAATCCTACAGCTTAAAGTTTCTACGTATGTACAATTTACACATCAAGTATGGTACATCTTTATATACGAGTTGCAATACCTACCAGAAATTTTTACAATCCTGGTAGTAACACAAAAAAATTTTCGGCGTTGATCAATAGTTGGAGGATGCTCTATGCATTAGACTTCATTAAGCATCATTCGGAGGTGACTGAATGCATGTCTGGCCTTTACAATGACTCGAGGTGGCCTATCGATGCGTCAATCCAGTGTTGCTATCCTCCCAGATAAGTTTGGTACCAATTTGCTGACCCCGGAGAGATGGAACGCTTGGTGGGTCTGGAGCGCGGAAATCATGTATTGCAGGGCGCCTCCGACCACTGCGCCACACGTGTCCCTGCACAACACTTGTTCTCGCCTCCGTGGC